TCCATTGAGATGAAATATAGTATATCAATCATTTTTGAAGGTAAAGGACTGTAATGAATACTGAAAACATAAGAAAACAAATATAAACGGAAATGTAAGGTTAAGAAAAAAAAAAAATCATCTGATGACTTCATTTTCACACCTTTTTCTGCAGTCCAATTTGTCAAAAAAGAAAAAAAGAAAAAAAAATGCAATTTAATTTTTTCTTGTTTTTAAATGAGGTAGAGGAATACATATTTTTCACAAGCGTATATTTAAAAATACCCCCCCCCCCACAAAAAGAAAAGAAAAGAAAAAAGATCTTTAGGTTTCTGTTATCTCCAACAATATAATTTTTAATTTATCTAGTTACATATTCATCAATTTATTTATTGTTATATACTGCTAAATAGCCACATATTAATCCTTAAAGAAAGATTTTGCAATCCGAATATATCTATTTAAAGTGAATAACGAAAAACAGATTTCTTCATGATATCTATTTGGCATAATTAGTACTATGCTACTGCTCCTAATGAACGTTTGTGGCCTCCGGATATATACATTTGGCATAATTAAGACTAATTACTGGGCGAAATAAACGTTGGGACTTCTACACACCGATTCTTAGAGATTCTACCTTAAGGTAATTAGCACAGGTCGCGGATTTTATACCTTGGGTGTTTGTTGACGTTTTTCTTTATAAGTTTCACCATTTTTTTCAGATTTTTTCCCTTTTTTAGATTTTAATTTTGCTCCCTCTGTTTTTTTTTTTTAATCTTCATTATTTATTTAGTTAGTTATCTTACTTTTTTTTTTCCTTTCTCCTTTTTTTTCTTTCTTTCCTTCTCTCTCTCTGTTTTTTTCTTCGTTCTTTCTCTGTCTGTCTGCTATTTGTCTGTCTGTCTGTCAGTCTCTTCTCTCCTTTTCTTCTTTTTTTTTTTCTTCCTTTCTTTTCTTCCTAAATTAACTTTATTCTCTTTCATTCTTTCTATCTTTCTACCTTTCTGTCTATCTGCCTCGCTATCTTTCTCTATCTCCATCTATCATTCCTTCTCTCTTCCAAATTTGTATCGCTTCTCTTCTCTTTCTCATATTCCCTTCTTCGGTTTTCTCCTTGCAGCATAAATCATCATTCTGCCTTTCCCTCTATTTTCTCTTTCTTTTTTTTTTCTTTCTCCTCATTCGTTTCTCTTGTTATTTTCCCCTCTCCACCTACTGCCACGAAACATTAATTTTTCCCTTTTTTTCCATTCTTCCTCCATACGTAAATTGACCCTCACCCCACCCCTCCCTCTACCCTCGCCTCTTCCCTCCTCCCTCCTTCTGTAAGTAAATTGGGCCTTGTCCCCACCCCTCTCTACCTCTGCTCCCTTCCCCCTCCCTCTCCCCACATGTTAACAGACATCCTACCTCCTCCCTCCCCCACCCTTCCCCTCCCTCCTGTCGTGCGTTAATAGACCCTCTCCCCCCCTTCCCTCTCCCCATGAGTTAACCCCCCCCCATCCTCTCCCTACCCTCATCCGCTACCGGCCCCTTCCCCCATGAGTTGGTAAACGCCCCTTTCCCCCACCTCCCTCCCCCATAAATTACCAAAAACCCCATCCCACTCCACCCCTTACCCTTCCTACCCTCGCCCACTCTTACCCCACCCCCCACCCACCCCTCTTCCCGAAAGTTCCCAGACCACCAATCCCCTTCGTCCCTTCCCCTCTTCCCCCCCCATATCCTTCCCCTCACATACACAGAGGGGGGGAGAGAGAGAGGGAGGGAGAGAGAGAGGGGGGAGGAGAGAGAGGGGAGGGGAGAGAGAGGGGGGAGAGAGGGGGAGACAGAGGAGAAGGGAGAAGAGGGTGAGAGAGGGGAGGAGAAGAGAGAGGGGAGAAGGGGAAAGAGAGGGGAGAGAGAAGGGGGAGAGAGAGGAGAGAGAAGAGAGAGAGAGGAAAGGGTGAGGGGGAGAGAGAGGGAGAGAGAGGGGAGAGAGAGGGGAGAGAGAGATGGAGATAGAAGGGAGAAAGAGGGGAGGGGGTAATCTAACTTGGCCAGAGAGCATAAACTTAAGACAAGGAAGAGAAAGCGAAGACACCAGGAAGAGAGGGTCGCCACCGAGCCTGATTAAAATCATCTTTCACTTTTATTGGTTCCCATGTTTCAAAAACTTATATAACTGAGAGAGAGAGAGATAGGGGAGGATTGGAAAGAGGGAGGAAGGGGAGAGCAAAAGAGACAGAGAGAGAGGGGGGGAAGGAAGGGAAAGAGGGAGGGAGGAAGAGAGAGAGAGAGAGATAGGGGAGGATTG